GTAACAACATTAATCAACATGTAAAAAGTATATTGAAACAATACATTACCCCATGAACATGTACAATGTTTATCCTTTTATGTATCAGTTAAAAATAATTTCAAAGTTTAAAAAAACTGAATTGCCTTCAATCAATCCTCTCAGGATAATTACTGTGTAGCAGGTGCTCTAAGCTTCTGCTAAGTGTGTAAATAGGTTTTAACAGCACTCAACCACATCACTTTTCCCGGGGGCTTTTGTGTACAGTAACTACTGTGGTGGTTATGCCTTCTGTTCCAGATGTCTGGACTGAATAGAAAGGAGTAAATCTCATATCCTTTCTCGCTCGGGACCTTTCTGGATTGTTTTGTCTGCACACAACAGAAAGGTTACAGGAGAGGCAGAGGTGGAGTGCACAAGCAGGCCAAATAGTTGGAAACAGATACCTGATTATACCACTGTTTCTTGAGAGTATATTCTGTCCTTGATTAGATGGGAGACTCCAGAAACTGTTTTTCTTGCTGTTGTTGTTACTGATCTCGTTACTTTCCTAAACTGATTTACGTTTACCAATAGTGAAATTATGAAAAATTTAATGCTATTAAATTCATTTCTTTGTATTTTCACTTCAAAAAATTAATTTTACCTCAGCAACCAAACATAGAGCTTTAAACAAATATGAAACACTAATTAATAAGCTGGCTGTACACAGTGCTACCATTTATCACTTATAAAACTACTTACTGTGTTTTCTTCTGCGTGAACAAATGTAGACAGCAATTATATTAACTATAGCAGGAACCTAGGTAGCCCTTGGAAATGCACATGATTTTCCAGCTCTGCTGAAAGGGACCTAATCAACACACAAGTAGCAATAACACAACTTGTAATAAGACATTATCTTCCCAGTTTCATTTTCCACAAACTCCTTGGAGAAATGCCTAAATGTAGGGCACAAAATTGTGTTTTTATGAATATTTATTGTAATATATTTAAGGTGTACATGTTTTGATCTACTACTGGTTACTACAGTCAGGCAAATCAACATGGTTATCATCTCAAGTCGAAGTTCTCTGTCGCTCTCCCCCCAACCTTTCTTTCTTTCATGGGAATAGGACCCAAAATCTACTCTCATGGCAAATTACCAGTATACAGTACAAGTTATAAACCAGTGGGCATTATAACCTAGACCCCTTCATTCTCTGTAACTGCAGCTTCACCCCTTGACCTACATCCTCTCATTTCCTCCACCCACCCCATAACCACCTTTTCACTGTGTCATTTTTTTAGATCAATCTTTAAGATGTCACATACAAGTGAGATCATGCAGTGTTTGTCTTTCTGTGCCTGGCTTGTTTCTCCTAACATAACATCCTCCAGTTTCATGCATGTTGAAAAGTACGAAACAAACACGGAACATCTTATGTGTCTGCTGGATATTCACAAGGATAAAGGACCCCACATAAAGAGGCTGCCACTGGTTGTTCAGTAGTGGCCCACACTCTCCAAAAGCAATTTCTTGCCTCTTCAGTGGGCGGCATGTTCTTGTGGCAGGAACCACACCCTCTCCTCAGAGGTTTGCTCTGACCTTGTGGTTAGGGTAAGGAGCATAATCTTCAGCCTTAGAGGTAATAGCTGCTTTTTGTATTTGCTACCTCTATACAAGAAAATTCTTTTATCTCTTTTAGCTATTGATCATTTCTTACTAAAAACAATTTTTTTGTTGTTGACATAATGGAATTGAACCCAGAACCTTCCCGCCAAGGTACATCCCCAGCCCTTTTTTAATTTTTTGAGACAGGGTCTCATAAAGTCACTAAATTGCTCAGACTGGGCTCAGAGTGCTGGGATTACAGGCATGTGGCACCATGACCAGCTGAAAACAATTCTTTATATTAAATTTTTCGTGAGAAAATTTCTACAAAATAAATGGCCTGTATTTCTCAAAATTTCAAGGTCAAATAAAGATAAACAAGTATGTGCATTCTGTAACTTTGGCGTGGCTCCTGTGTTTCAGGAATGGGAAGTAATTACAAGAAGCATTTATTAGAACAATTGATGAAACTTTGATAATAGACTGTATATTACATAATAATACTGTATCGATGTAACGGTTCCTAATTTTGATAATTACACAGTGCTAATGTAAGAGAATGTCATTGTTCTTAGGAAATACACCTTGATGGATTTAGTGGTAATGAGAAACTTTTAAATTTCTCAAAATAAATAAATGTGGAGGATGGTGAGGAAGGAACCAGAAAGTAACAAGGTAAATTGGGTGGCACATAAACAATACATTGGTACAAGCACCCAATGATAAACGTAAATGTATTGTATACCTAAAATGTACCAATAAATATATAAATTAAAAAAATACATTAATCTAGGTAAAGTGTACATAAGACATGTTAGTATTATTTTTGCATCTTTCATGTAAGTATTAAATTACAGTATTACTGAAAGTTATCAAAAACCAAAAATATATTTCATCCTTGAAATATGTCAAACAAGGTCATTTTGAAAGGCATCCGTAAAAAAATTCACAATTGAAATCTGGCTCAAGATGACAAATTGAATACATGCATATCAAGACTGCGAAACTATCAAATAAATTCCAAAAGATCCCTGAGGCAGTCAGAAACGTAAGCAGGAAGGATGTGTTTAACAGTGAAACCAGAGCAAAATCTGTTAGCACAAGAAGGGTGTCAGGTCAATCCCAGGTCTTGGCAAAAAAATAAAAAAGAAAACTGTCAAGAGGTTGAATAAGCCCAGCCCAAAGAGGCTCCCAGCTCAGTTAACAACTTTTGCTCAGGGCGAGAACCTTGATCTGTGTTCTGAGGTGGAATTCAAACTGGGAAGCACCCAGAATGGGCACCACGGAGGCCCTAGACACAGAGAAGTAACCCAGGTTATCTGTAAACGATGGTGATGGAATCCCAGCTCTGCCTCCACCCCAACAGAAGGCAAACTGAATTCACTTACATTTGAATTCACCTACAAGTGAACATCAATTCTAAAAGGGAAGTTCATTGTAATGGGAATTTTGTCTTTGTTCTCTACTTTATCCTCAGAAAACAATTTCTTTTTTCTTTTTATAGTGGGCATTGAACTCAGGGCCTTTGTACTGAGATACCTTCCCAGCCTTTTGTATTTTGAGATGAAGTCTCACATTTTTTTTTTTCTTTTGGTACTGGGGATCAAACTCAAGACCTTACATTTTCAAGGCAAGCGGCAGCACCACTGAGTTAAATCCCCAGCTCATGTCTAAGTTGCCAAGTTGCCCACACAGGGATGGAACTTGCAATCCTCCTTGCCTGTGCCTGACTTAGCCTCAGAATTTACAGTGCTGTTTGGCACATAGCAATTGCTTAGTAAATATTTGTTAAACGAATTGATAAAAGCACAAGAGAAATAATGTAAATGCCCAACAACAGTGGCATTGGTTTGGTAGCAATCTATAAAGGTATATATCATGCAATTCTTTAAAGGCTGATTGGAGGAGGGTAGAGTGTCTAGCACGGCCTAGGCCCAGGGTTCAATCTCTGGTGCCAATTAACAAAGAAAGAGTTAATCATATGGAAAAACATTTGACATGGTATTTTTTCAATGTTTCTCTTTTGTGTGGTTTGTTTTGTAGCACTGGGAATTGTACCAGGGCCTTCACATCTTCTAGCTTTTTCTTTTTCTTTTTTTTTCCTTTTTTTGACAGAGTATGGCTAAAATCACTAAGCTGTGCCAGGTTGGGTTTGAATTTGAATTTGTCATCCTTCTGCCTCCCAGACTGGTACATTAAATTTTTTTTTAAGGAAGTAACTGTACTCAAAAAGAAATTCCACAATTTTTTGATGAGTATGTATGGTTTAATTTTGTTTTCTACCTAAAATCACTTTTATTAAAAAGAAAATCTTTTAAGTTTTTCACCCACCCAACCCAGATATAATTACTACCTAGACTGAACTAAATGTATCTATTAATAAATAAATGTAGAACAACACACCATCGGACGGTATGGTGCTTGGGAGCCCGGATTCTGGAGGCTATCTACCTACATTTCATACCTGATTTATAATTCAATAGCTGTGGACTCAATTACATACTTGGCCTGTATGTGCTTTATTCATTTGTAAAATCGGATAAGATTCTTCCTCATAAGGTTAGTGTGAAGATTAAGCAAATTAATACTAATTTCAAAGCACTCAAAAGTGCCGGGCATCACACAGCTAGGCAAACTGTTAGCTTCTGTTATCTTTATGACTAGGTTCAAGCATGCACTAGCTCTGAGGAGAGAACCAGGAAAATAGTCCCTATTCACGTAGAGAGAGGGGGGTACACAGACAAAAAGAGAAGCCACAGCAAAATGAAAAGAGGCTAAAGCCAGGTAAAGCACCAAGGGAGCATCAGGCGAGCGTTCAGAGGAAGGAATGATTAATTTCTACAGAGCGAATCCAGGAGGTTATAGCAGCAGTAATATTTGAAACGAGATCAGAAGAGACTCAACAGACTGGCTCGTAAGACATAGGGGGACCGCAAAAGACCTTAAAAGGGACAAAGATATCGCTCGTTCCCCAAAACACCAGAAATGCAGATGGGATGAAGTGAGGGCAGAAGAAGCTTCTGGAGAGCAGAGGCGGCTGCAAAGTAGGTTTATCAGGCAAAATGCCACAAGACGGGAGGGCACGACAAGGATAATAAAGTGAGAACACACGCCCAAGGTACGATACAGGAAATGAACACAGATATCCTTAAGGAAGCCAGGATACCATGGACCCGATCGCTCCGCTGCAACTTTAGACAAACTGAGAGTCCGAGCCACAAATTCATCAACAGCGTCTCCAGCAGGCGGCGAAAGACCTGCACACGCGCGGGACGAACGCGGCTAGAGAACTACAACTCCCAGAGAGGCAGGAGGCGCGCCGTTCCGCACTTCCGCTTCCGCCAACGCCCCGCGTTCGCTCTCGGCTCTGACCAATCAGAAGCGGGCCTGGCGCGTGACCCTGCGGGACGGAGGCATGCGAGCCCAGGATTCCGCGGGGCGGGACTGCGGGCCCCATTGGTAGAAAGGCGACCAGAAAAGAAAAACCTAAACTTGACCATCTCTGTAGCGATTGGAGTTGATGGGCAGAGGCGGAGCGGAACGCACAGGAACCCTGGCCAATCGGTGTTCAAAGCGGTCGGGGAGCCGGGGCCGGGAACGCGGAGCGAGGACCGTGCGGTCGCCGGCCGCGGGGTCTGGTGGGAGGAGCGCCCGCTGGCCGCTCGGCGCTTCCGGTTTCCGGTTCCCGGAGTCGGGCACGGCGAGGCGCTTGGGGGAGCGGCGGCCTCGGACAGGAGCCTTGGGCCAGGGGACTGCGGCTGGCCGCTGGTGGCCCCGGCTCCCGCCCTCAGGAGGACACGCCAGGAGCTTCTGCCTGCGGCTTCCCGGCTCGCCCGCGACACGTGAGTCCGAGGGGCGTGGAGGCGGCGGGGCGCTAGCGCCGGGCGTCTGTGACAGGAGCGGGCGGGAGTCTGAGCCCGGAGAGAGAGAGGCCGGAGAGGAGCCGTGCGGCCTCGGGGAGGCAGGGGACCAGGTCCCCGATCGATAGAGTCCCCTTTGAGGTGCTGCATAGTTGTAGGAATACTCTGGGGCTGCATTGTGGAACGAGGTTAAGCCGCGTCGTTTGGATAAAGTATGGCTTCAGGCAGCTGGAAAGTGAAAATTCCCAATACCGTGGAAGACTTCCGAGGGCAATGTTAGTGTGGTATGGAGAAAAGTAACGAACGGAAGGATCACCTCGTGTTCCTTCCATAGGGAGCTAATCTGAGGCTCTTTGTCAACTTGGGGCATTTTCGCCAAGTGGAGCTGCTTTTCTGAAAGGGTAGGCTGCTGGACGAAAGGATAGGGAGTCAGAAATGAACAGCGGGAAGGAAGTGAAAATTCCACTGACAGATGGAAAATGGCCACCGGCCTGGAGAGGTGGGGAAGTGAGTGCTGCCGAGGTCCGGGGGTGTCAGCTGCTTGCCACTGCCTGCCTCGGCTACAGACATCCCAACAGAGGGAGGCTTTTTAGCATTGCCAAATAGATCTTTCTATAGAATAAGAAAATGGAACGGGGCTTTTTCAAGATCTTAAATCTCTTCGTTCCCAAAAGTATGTGCCTCAAGAATCTAGTTGTAGTGTATTAAAAAGGAACTACCCATCCCTTGGATTTCATAATCTTCCTAATTGTACCCCTGTGCTTATCAGAAGTTTTCCAGCAAATAACTTTTGTCATTAATCGTTTAAGTTGCTCCAGTAACTTCATACATGTTGTAATCTGTGTAACCTTAACATGCCGTTTAAATAAGTCTGTAAGCAGTAGGCTCACCTTTAAAATGGGAAAAATGATGCCCACTTTCTGGATTGTGAAGATTAACAAACATAATTTAAGTAAAGCATTTCGGGCACCATCTATGATACCACCCTAAGCATAGAGAAGCACCTTAAATTTACAGCCAGACCTTAGGCAGGAGAGAGAAGATATAAATTTATTATCATCCTAACTTTTTAAACCTATAAGCAAATGAAAGATAGATCAGCTCAGCTGATGCTGATCGCAGAGTATTTAGTTCTTTGTCCCTTCCCTATTTCTGGGTCTTTGTTCTAATTTGAGGAGAGAAAAAAATCAACTATTAACAAGGAACTTTGAGGCCGAAAAATACAGCGTTCTGTGTAAGCATACCTTCAGAAACTGCTCCTCAAGGAAAAAAGATCTTGAGAACCCAGAATGTTAACATTTTAAATTAGGTTCTGAGAACATAAGGAAACTGGCATGCTAAATTAGTCTACTAAAAGAAGTTTCCTATTCTTTTTAGAGAATCAGCTGGTCGACTTGTGTATTGAATAGCTAGTTAACTTAGGGAACGTGGGGGCTTCAGCTCTGAGTTCTTTATTCCACCTCTGTTCACTCAACTGTGTGAGGAGTCACTTCCCCTTCTTGCTTTTTCAGAAAAAGAGAAGTGGGGAACCAGGCATGGTGGCACACGCTGGTAACCCCAGCACTCAGAAGGCTGAGGCAGGAGGATTGCTGCAAGTTCAAGGCCAGCCTGGGCTACATAGTGAGTTCAAGGCCAGCCTGAACCACATAATGAGACCCTGTCTCAAAAAACAACACCCCCCCCAAAAAAAAGTGGGGACAGCACAGCTTTGGTTACCTACTCCCATACCCCAGAAAATAAGATGAAAGAAGATACACAAGTAATGATTAAACATAAACCATAGGCTCTGGAGGCTCTGGCTGGCTCCCATAGCTATGCCTGTTTTCTTAGCTGTTAAACAAGGGCAATAATTGTATTTACTGCATAGGGTTATTGTGAGAATTAATCAGCTAATATATGTTAAGTGCTTCAAACAGTGCTTGACTAAAGGCTGTCACTCATAAATGTTTCCCATTTGTGTGGTTTTGATGCTTGAAGTGTGTCATGGGGCTTTAATCTCTTGGCTAGTTGTGATTATTCTATGGAAATGCTTTAGTAGTATAACTAGTAAATCAATTACACTATCAATTTAGTGAATTGATATTTGGGGTATATGAAGTCAGGTAGATCATTTCTCAGGCATTTGTTGGTCTAATTAAGTGTGGAAAAATGGAAAGTCCAATAAAAAATAAGCTCATGCCAGGGATTTAAAATGCTCAGTGGTTCGGCCACCTGCCTTGCAAGTGCAAGAATCCAAGTTTGATCCCCAGTACCGTAAAAAATAAGCTCGTATAGGGGAGAAGGAAAAGTATTCAGGGCTCAGGGTGGGAGTTTCCATTTGTCCCATTTTCAGTGAGAAAATTTTGAAAGAATTAAACTTTGTATCAGAAAAATTAGTGATATTGTTATGAAATTAGCAAGTAGCTGTAGACTGAAGGATCACTAATGAATACCTGAGTGAAGGTTTTTGCACAACTAAATCATTGTATTCTGGGTCTGAAGATGGATTAGAGAAGAGAAAATGAGTTTGAGAAACAGCTGTGACCCTCCATTCCTAGGGTAGTACAAGGAACAGGTAAACCCAGAGTTGTCATCAATTTGGAGCATACAAAGATAATTGTACCTACTGGAAACCTAGAAGCTCTTGAGATTTGTGACTTGCAGAAGCTAAGGTGGGTTTTGGAAGCCTTTTCAAACTGCTCATTTTGACCAAGTGAATTTTCTTCTTCCTATAACCTTAAGACAGTTGAATGGTTTTTCAGAGATGAAATATCAGAGTAGGTAAATGTCATGTGTTAGGTGCTGTGGGTAATTTACCTCTATTCAGCATTCTTGGGGTGAATGTAAACAAAGATCATTAGATACTCCTGAATACTGACATAAATTAGTGCCCCAAATACCCAAATTTTCTATGTTGTACATCTTTCTTAGTAACTTCCAACTAAACATATTCAGAGGTCTATTTAAATTGTAGCTTTAAGTGTTTTCTTAGGGAAGGCCACTGGCTTAAGCTTTGTGAACTAGTATTAAACTTTGAATAATGAGATTTGGCAATCTTAACTTCGCAGTAAACAGTAAAGAGGTAAGTTGCACCCAGGTTATCATATTGCAGTAATTCTTACTCTTTCCTCCTTTCTTTTGAAGGATTCATCTCTAAATCAGACTGAAAGTTACATAATATGGGTTTCCTGCTGCAGATGTTCTTGCCACAGAGATATTAAAATGTACTATATGTTGCATATTCCAAAGAATTGTAGTTTCTAAATAACCAAAATACCATTCATTTAATACACATTCATATGTTTTATTTCTTTTCCTTCTCTCCTCCTCCCACCTGCCCTCCCAACACATACTCCTTTCCAAAAGGATGCTCCCCTTCTGTAGCTGCTGGAAGACTGGACTGCTACTACTGCTACTCCTGGCTGTGGGAGTGAGAGAATCCCTGCAGGCCGAAGAAAAAACTTGTGACTTGGTAGGAGAAAAGGATAAAGAGTCAAAGAGTGAGTTGGCTCTGCTGACGAGACTGAAACCATTGTTTAACAAAAGGTAAATGAAAAGAACCTTAAAGGGTTTGAGAAACTATCTTCTTTTTTTTTTTTCTTTTTTTCTTTTTTGGTACTGGGGATCAAACTCGGGACCTTGAGTTTGCGCAGCAGATGGCGGAGCCACTGAGCTAAATCCCCAGCCCAAGAAAACCATCTTTATTAAAGAGTTGTTTTTCTTTGTACTTACCAAATTTCACTTTAATATGGAGGGAATACATGTGTAACCCTCTCTGGGAGATGCATTCTAATCTAATTGGGGTTTTTTGACCATAATACCTTGCTATCCTCAGTGTTATAGACAAATTCGCAGCCCAGTTTTCTTCCTGAGGGTTTTGGAGTTTGTTTGTTTGTTTGTTTGTTTTGGTACCAGGGATCAAACACGGGACCTTGCACTTTCGAGGCAGGCAGCAGAACCACTGAGCTAAATCCCCACCCCTTAGCCCAGTTTTTAGTAGCCGTGTCTTTACCTTTCAGAGAAGACAGAACCCCAGTAGAAATTCAAGCATTGCTTGATACCTCCACATTCATAGGGCTTTAAAAGTTTCAGACCAACATGATTAGGCCTATACATATCATTATTAATCCCAACTAGATGTATCTGACAATGACCCTTAAGAAATATGGAACTATTCTACAAACAAGGTCCCTTGTTCATGGAAAAATGATAGCTAACATGTAAGCCTAGAATATCTAGAATATTCTGCTGGGTGATCTTAATCATTCATCATCAACAATTAGGGCTGTCTACTAGGGTCATGAAAATCTCATAATTCAATAAATGATGTTCACTTACATTTGGCCATGACATTGGACAAATAAGTCAAGCACATTTTGTTTTTGTTATCCTCAAAGGAAGAGAGGGAGGCTGGGTTTTCCTGAGGCTGATAGCTAGTAACTCTCTTCTCCCTTTCTTTCCCCTTCTCCTGACAGCTTTCAGAGCACTGTGGGCCAGGGGTCTGACACTTACATGTACGTATTCCGGGTATGCCGGGAAGCCAGCAACCACAGCTCTGGGGCAGGCCTGGTGCAGATCAACAGCAACGGGAAAGAGACGGTGGTGGGGAGGCTCAATGAAACTCACATCTTCAATGGAAGTAAGACACTGCTGTTGGCTAGTCCCACATCAGTCCTCTGACAGTTCTGTATGACTTGGCCTTTCCCAGTCTCTTCAGTGTGTCACATGCTCCTCAGACACTTAGGTCCACACTTGCTCTACAGCCACAGCTCAGGACAGTACACATTTGAAGACAATGGACAAATTCATGGGAAGTGCAAAGTCTAGCCAGAATGTGTAGCCTGGAGTCCTTTATTCACCTAAATACTTCATGAGTTTCACACCAAATGCCACACTTCTTATCAAATTAACCACTTTGCCAGTTAAGTTTTAAGAGATGAAGCTTTCTGCAAACCAATCCATCTACAAAAGAATTTTCTCACCAGTGCGCTGTGGTGGTGTTTTTTAGTAGTAATAAAATCATATTGCTGGAAAAGACTACATGACACTTACAATGTAATTCCTTCCCAAAAGCAAATAAATTACCCAGCGTAGGCATTTACTCCTGTGAGTAATACACTGAAATAATATTCAGAGTTTGGAGCTGGGGTCAAATGAGTGGGTTCTTGATCCAGCCTGTGGTATTTCCTAGTCCTGTGACTAAAAAATCATTTCATCTTTCGATTTGACTTTCTCCTAAAAACCTCACCTCACATGATTGCTCAAACGTGATATTTGGCAAAAGAATTTTGAACGCAATACTGAAAAAGTAAATGCATTTCCATCTCAAAAAATTATTATTTTGAATTTATCTATGGCTAATTTTAAATGACAGGCTTCTCCCCGCTGCCTAGCAGTTATATGCAAGCTATCTTAACAAGTATTTGGAAAATTAAATCAGTATTAAGCTATGGATCATAATTGTATTTATATTAGTTGCCTGCCCTTAATGTGGAAAGTTAAAACTTTTCTTAACTAAGTGTCTGATTCTTAGTTGTCTTGAACAAGGTAGCACAAAACATTGGTAAAGAAGCAAGTTTTAGCTTCGCCTGTCTGGTATGCAAAGCAGTCTGATTCCACTCTGCCATACCCAGAGTTGCCTCACTTTTCCCTCCACCCCATAGTGCCATCTTCCTTGTCCCTCCTCAGGTAACTGGATCATGCTGATCTATAAAGGGGGTGATGAATATGACAACCACTGTGGCAAGGAGCAGCGTCGTGCAGTGGTGATGATCTCCTGCAATCGACGCACCCTAGCGGTGAGGCCCCGGGGGTATCCAGGGGAAACATTTTGAGGACTGACCTGAGGCGGGAGAGAATATCCAGAGGGGACTGGATACACAGGGTGGACATGAGAAAACCAGAACCATTTTCCCCCGTGTCAGACATCCATCTTCCATGAAATTAGGCTACTGAACCAAGAGAACCACAGATGTCATTTGGGTTTTTCTTTTGTTGGATAGAAGTCAGAAGAAAAGATTTTACCACATAAATATTGTGTTCTGCCCTTTCATCCTCAGGACAACTTTAATCCTGTGTCTGAGGAGCGAGGCAAAGTCCAAGATTGTTTTTACCTCTTTGAAATGGATAGCAGTTTAGCCTGTTCCCCAGAGGTCTCCCACCTCAGTGTCGGCTCTATCTTACTTGTCACGTGAGTACTCTTCTCCTCTCATCCAGATAAGCCCGCCTTTGATTCTTTAAAGTCAGTAACTATTTTGTGGTATGGGGACACAAGTTGGTATGTACATGTGTTAGATTAAACCAGGAGATTTGACAGTGAAAATGACTGCAGGTTTAATGAAATTAAGATTTAATGGTGTGTGTTTGTTTTGAGACAGTCTCCCTATGTAGCTCAGGCTGACCTCGAACTCACGGCAATCTTCCTCCCTCAACCTCATGAATGCTGGGGTTACAGGCGTGTACCACCACACCTGGCGGATTTAATATTTACTCATAAATATTTGCATTTAGAGATGCTCCCTCGGGACAGGTTTAAATAATATCTCATTAGATTATTAGAATGGTGGAGAAATAAAATTACACTTCCAATGGCTGTTATTCTTAGCTGATAAAATCACAGTGGCTTACATTTTTTCTGAGCCTTAAGAAATCTTAGCTGGTTCTCTAAGGAAGCTTCCAGGCCCTTTTTTCCCTTTTTGTTCCTTTTTCACAAAATGTAGCCAACATTGAATATAGAGGCTATCCTTAGTTATGAGTTTCACTGTTTGATTTTTGGTTGTTCTTTTGTTTAGGTTTATTTTGTTGGGGTTTGTTTTTGTTTTGAGGGGTACCGGGGATCGAACTCCGGTCTTTGCGCTTGTGAGGCAGGCAGCAGAACCACTGAGCTAAATCCCCGGCCCTGTTTTGTTTTGTTGTTTTTTGAGCCGGAGATCTTCTCTGATGTGCAGGCATGTGCCACTGCACCTGGCTTTAGTTTTTAAGAATACATGTCTTTGGAACAGGGATTTAGCTCAGTGGTTCCGGCACCTGCTGTGCAAGCGCAGGGTCCCAAGTTCGATCCCCAGTACCAAAAAAAAAAAGTATTTACGAAAGACTACATGTCTTTTTCCCTCTACAGATTTGCATCACTGGTTGCTGTCTACATCATCGGGGGTTTCTTATATCAGCGACTAGTGGTGGGAGCCAAGGGAATGGAGCAGTTTCCCCACTTAGCCTTCTGGCAGGACCTTGGCAACCTAGTAGCAGTAAGTGACAAGTCTGCTGGCTGGGTAACCAGTCTGTTTAGTCAATGGAGTTTCCTGGGACAAAGGACATTGAGTGCTGATGCCACAGAAGGCCCAACAAATGAGTAACAGTTTTCCCCTGGTATAAGGTGGCATTTCTGGCCTTGCTAAGAAGTGGCTAGAAGATCAGCAGTCTATTACATGCCTCCCAAACTCAATTTAGTTGTCAGGGGGAGCCTAAGAGAGAAGCTGTGGCCTGTTAGTATGCTTTCCCGTGGCTGGACGTAGTACCCAGCACAGCTTAGGAAAGGCTTAATAGAGCTCATGGTTTGGGGTGATTTGGCCCACAGTCATCTGGCACCAAGACAAACCTCACAGCCAGAGAGCAGAGCAGGGGAGCAGTGCCAGAAACAAGGGACCTTCTGGGGCATCCATGGCCACGCCTCCATGACCCACCTAGACACACCCAAGAACAGGTTCTAACTGGCTAGGCATTTTCAATCCAGTGGACATATCAGGATTAACAGTCACATGGCCTAAGAAGAAACTATTTCCTCTAAATTGAATTCAGGCTAGTCCTTGTATTTTGGACGTTTTCTCTTCATTGTCCCTAGAGAAAAAGTTGTCAGATTCTTAGACCATAAACATGCTCTGTCCTACCCTAATGTGGAATATTCCAAATTACCGGGTTTTTTCTTTGCTTTTTTCCCCTACAGGATGGTTGTGACTTTGTGTGCCGGTCTAAGCCCCGAAGTGTGCCTGCTGCATACCGAGGTGTGGGAGATGATCAGCTGGGGGAGGAGTCAGAAGAAAGGGATGATCATTTATTACCGATGTGACTGTACTTTCAGTCTCCAGCCTCTTGGCCCCCAGACCAAAGCACACTCATAGCCAGGTTTTCATGCAGTCTCCTCCCCTCGCTTCATCTTGTCTTAACAGCATCTTGCTTTCTAGTTTGCTTTTCATTTGCATCCTCTTCTCACTATCTGCCTCCCCTGTGCTGTTTTGTCTTCTAGAGAGGTACAGTTAGACAGCAATAATAGAGCCTGTGAAAACAGGCTGCAGCGCTATCTGGCTGTCAGAAGGTACAAGTAAGACAAAGTGAGCACAAAGGTCACTGGCCCTTTCTCTTTTTTTAAACACGTTTTCACAAGTTTTTGAGACACTGGATTTCTTTATTAAAAAAATCAAAGGAACATTATTTATACAGGCCTGGTGGCTTTCATGCTATAACTTTACCCTACAGTAGTCTCCATGAGAATCTGGATGTATGTAATTTCTTGCTGCTTGGAACTGCTTTGCAGTGATTACTTGCTTGCAATCCAAGTACTCCCATTTGGTCTGAGCCTGGAGATGTTCTAGACTTTGGATTACGACAGAAAAAATGTGAAACTTCACGATTACAGAATTGTAATACCGTCACATCACTTGTGGGCATTGGGGTGACTTAGCTGGAATTGGGGCTTGGGTTTTGGTCTGTGGTTATCACTCTGTAGCCACAGTGCCTAACCCAGCAATCCAGTCCATGGGCAAGACAGTCAGGACCCCTCCTGGGTTGCAGAGGCCCCAGGACAGGGCAGTATGTTTACTTGGTGGTGGGATTTCCTCTTTGGTGTTCTCCCATTTGCAGTAGAAACTGGCAAAGCTGCCCTTATCCTGTCTGTCTCTATAGTATTTCTAAACTGATACTGCACTTTTTTTTTACTGGCATGTGGTTTTGCTTTTTCCTCCCAGCCTTCTGGAAAGGGGATGGAAGCAGAAATAGAACACAAGGGCTCTGTAGTCCTCTGCTCTGGCTGCAGATGCTGCTGCAGCTCCTGTCCCTGCTGCTGACTCAGGGAAGTGTGTGTCTTGCCCACGTTTCTGTGGGAAAGTTTTTATCTTCTGATGCTTCTGTCTTTCTGTGTAGGCCATGAACCTATAATAGTGAACCCGGGGCCACTAAAGAGTAACATGGCTCCACTGGACACCAGAAGGATGGACTCAATAGGCAGGGGCCTTTTATAAGCCTTTAGAGAAGAAAATGATATTCTTTCACCTTTGGACTTTTCAATACTATTGGAATGGTTTTGAGGGTTTTTTCCTTCCTTTCTGAATAGGAAAACTAATGTTATAAAAGCATCTCCTTTATTATTTGCATCCTTCCCCCATATCCTGGTGTTTTAAAATGAAAAAAGGTATACCACTTTTTGTACAAAAACACTTAATGATTAAAAAACACAAAACATGTTGGCCTAATCATTTGTGTGAGAGAGAAGACTACATGGAGTAAGAGACAACTGAGACCAATTTTCATCCTTTTACTGAGGAAGAAAAAATACTTTAATATTTTGTTGTATAAGGAATAGTGCCTAAGGCAGGTACTTACAATCCTGGCCTTGGACCCACACACATGTGTTTATAAAGCTATAGGACAGTGAGGTTGGAATTGAAAAGAGAGAGTAGAAGAAAACAGAAAATTGGAAGGAAGCAGGGGGATGCAGAAAGAATGACAATAGCCACACGTGTGCCAGTCAAATGCTTTTAGTCCCTGTGGCAAATCAGAAAGATGCCAACCAAGCCTACACCAGCTGGTGACCCTGCCATGAATGCAGGAGAAATACTCAATACTAAGGGAATAGGTGATAACAAAACTGAGCCACAGCTACCGTGGGACAATCCCGAGGGGAGAGGGTGAGTACCAGATTTTGCTGTTCGTGTCACACGAGCTAGAAAAACCCAACCTCTGCCCCTGGGGAGGCAAACCTACATTCCACCCACTTCCTTGCCTTACCATATAGCACATTCCTCTTCTGGAGAACTGAGATCCTGGCTAGATGCTCCACTCCAGGAAAAGGCTGGGCTGTCCTGGTTCTCTAGACTGCCTCTTTGTGAAGATTGCATTAGGGCAGGTGGATATGGTAAGAATTATAAAGATTTTTTAAAATAAAATGAAACCCAGAGAAAATGTCAAAGCTGCCACCACGTAGCACCAGCAACCAGTTCTTACACTTCTCTTTCCTGCTCAGTAATCCCCCTCCAGAAGGTCACATAATTGGAACAGCTTTCCTCCCTGCAAAGTCTGCTGGCTCCAGGTTGTAACCTGGATAGTGGGGAGTGTCCACCTTCGGCCACTCTGTCCAACAGCCACCTTAGGTCTCCTTGAGGACATTTATCTTGGCGCAGATCTTAAGGGCAGGGCCCAGTTTGATGTTCATGGCACTCATAAGATGTTCTTCTTTAAGTAATAAAAGGGCCTGTCCATCAATCTCCTGGGAACGGAACTCCTCTGCGATCTCTTGGCAGCCTAGAAGGACGAGGTGAGAACATGTACAAGAAACTGCCCAGGAGCACCAGAGATCAAAGGGACTGAGTATGAGGCAGCAGGCGGAGGAGTGGTTATCCCAAATCACTTGTCCTCAACTCAAGTTACATACAAGGATGAGATGGCAGGCTTTTGTTTAATGGTGCTGGGGAATGAACAACCTAGGCCCTTTGCACTGAGCTATATCTCCAGCTTTTTTGGGGGGTGGGGGAGACAGGGTCTCATTAAGTTGCTAAACTGCTGGAACGTGTAATCCTCTTGCCACAGACCCCAAAGTACTGGGGTTTCAGGCATGCACCACCACACCTGGCTGAGATAGCAGGCTTTGGCACAAATGTAATTAGAGCTACTAGCTAACTTAAAAAGATCAAGAAAGGAAGATCTAGCCAGACACGGTGGTATAGGCCTGTAATCCCACACTTCGGCTGAGGCAGGAAGACCCAGTGAGTTCAAGCCCAGCCTAGTTACTCAGTGACTCAGCAAGACCCTGTCTCAATTTCAAAAGGGTTGGAGATGTAGCTCAGTGAAAGGGCCTTGGTTCAATTCCCAGTACCACAAAATAAAAACTCTAAATTACTTAAGGCCGGGTATTTAGCCCAGTGGTTTCACTGCCTGCTGCACAAACGCAAGGACCTAAGTTCGATCCCCAGTACCAAAAAAAAAAAATTAAATTACTTAACAACAAAATCATTCAAGTGGAGAAAGGAAAAAGCAAAAATATGTGCATTTTCTTTTATACTGGAAAAAGATTACAGTTAAGAGCCTCCACCAGGGGCAATGTAGTGGCACAAACCTATAATCCCAGCATTCGAGAGGCTAAGATTCAAGGCCAGCCTGACTGCAGAATGAAACTGTCTCAAAACACACCAAAAAACCCCCCTGCAACATTTCTGTTAGGAGCCCAGAATTCAAAGAGCAAAAAGGATAGGGTGGTTTCTTTTGTTTCTCTCGAGGTACTGTGGACTGGACCCAGGGCCTTCACACTAACGCCATACCCCCTTTTAGTACATGTTTCCAGTACGTAATGATCACATTCATCTTGTTATGTACATTAGTACATGTACATAAGACATCATTTTGAGACGAGTCTCCCTAAATTGCCGAAGCTAGGCCTGAACCCACAATCCTGCCTTAGCTTTTCGAGACAGCTGGGATTATGGGTCTGTGGCACCAGGCCCAGTCTGGCAATTTTCTTTTATGGAGAATGTCCTGCCTTATGGATGGGTCAGCAGTGATTCCTTAGTTCCCCTCCAATGGGGAGGAAGTCCTATTCCTGGTAGGGATTACAGTTAATCACACATAAATAACCCAAAAAGTAGTGGTGCGAAATAACAGCTGAATCGTAGTAGGAAAAGGAAGCACTGCAGAACTGCTGACATTGCAAAGGACAAAGTCAACCCAGAAGGAAATTAGCCAAGCTATGGGCAAGCAACTTGAAGAGCCTCAGTACTATCATGCTCAAGTCCCAACTGCTTCCCCATCAGTTCTCTTCCTGCTCACAGAGGCCTCCTACGGGTTGATCTAAGGACAACGACACCTGGGTTCTGCAGGAGACCCCCCTCAGTACCTTGGAGAGAAGCAATGAACTCGTACACCTCCTCTACACTCCAACGGCTTGGGTTACTGGACAGGAACACAGGGTTTATGCCGTGTAATTCAGGTGTCGGGGGTGCGGTAATGGTGTTCCCCAGGTCACGATCTCCCTGCCCAGCTCGTCCTGACAATGGCCCAGGAGACGTAGGGGACAGTGCTTCGTCATAGCTGGAATTATCTGAACCCCGGCTGGAGTCCTCTTGGCCCTACAGAAAAACAGCAAAACAGAGGTCAGGAGTAACAGTTTCATGAGTTCTCTCTCTGCTACTATTACCACTGTTCAAGTAATCTGCACTTCCTTTGCCCCAAGTCTAATCTCAAGTGCCTTTCAAATATGAACTTTCTCACTTCCTTGAATCTACCGTTGTACTATCTCAAATACAGAAAGTAAAGATTCATGGGAATATGAACCAGCAGTTGGGTGAAAGGAGACAAAAAGAGGCCAGAAACGCAACCAATGTAAACCTGAGTTCTGGTCTCATGTCCTGTTACCTGGATAAGAACTGTCCCACAAACCCCATTTTAAAGGTGGCCGAAAGAAAAAAAAAAAAGGTAGCTGGCTCCGCAGCAGCAGCTCACCCGGTGCCGCTTGCCCTGGATCTTGGCTCGGGCGATGTCAGAGGAGCTGCGGCGGGGTCCACGCCTACGAACTCGAGCATAGTTGGCTTCTTGGAACTCTTTCATTTTTTTTCTCTTGAGCCGGAACTGGTGGCTGCAGCTCACATTGTACCTGCAGGTCAGGGCATAGGATGTCAGGGTGCTAGAAGAGACCAGTCACTCCTCTGCCCTAAATCTGAATTGGTATTTTCAGAGTTGATTTGGGGAAGCAAATGAAATCGAAGAGGAAGACATGCTGTGAGATGCCCCTGGAAAGAGCTATAACTTCCAGTGGAGAAACCAGTGCTGAGGGAGGCAGGTGGTGCCCACAGTACCTCTTAGCACAAGTCATGGAGCAGAACCTCTTAGAGCCTCGGAACTGCTCTGCAGGGGCGTACTTCCCACAGTACTCGCATTTCAGGAGGTTTGCCGCCTTATCCAAATCTGAAAAGCAAGGGTTCACTGGAGAGTCACCGTGCGTTTCTGCTGCCCTCAGACACTGTTAGCCCATAGCTAGAATCTTTCTCAGAGTCTGCACCTATCTGCTACACGGCCTAAGTGAAAATCTCTGAAACCCAACACTTTGAAGACTTGTGAGTCTAAGAACTTACTAACCTTAAGCCAAAACAATTTCCATTCTAGATGTCTTACTAATTTTATCCTAATTCAACTCAAGAGACTTAAGAGTATGATTCCATTTCTGAATAGGAAAGAGGAACTAATCACTAATGCCTAGAAAGATTTAAGATCCTATTCCCACAAAGATTTCAAAAGTATGAGGGAATCTGAGTGTGATGGTACACGCCTGTAATCTCAGCACTTAGGAACCTGAGACAGGAGGGTTGCCATGAGTTTGAGGCCAGTCAAATACATGTCAAGACCGTCTCAAAAAACCAAAGCATGGAGGATGGGAGAATTTTCAAATAGTCCTTAATACAGATTATAAAATTAGAATAAGGAGAACCGGAAATTAAGAATTTAAATGTCATGTTTTAAGCATTTGCCTAGTGTGTGTGAGACCTTACGTTCCATCGCCAGCACTGAGGGGAAAAAGGCATAGATGTCCTAACAGTTATTTTATAGCTTTTAACAGTGCTAAGAAACCCAGGGCCTACTCTGAACTATACTTTCTGTGTATAAATAAACATCTAATTCCCACTTTAAATAAACAGTGTTTTACATTGGGTCCTCAGACACATCTCTACAGACCTCTTGCCCGCAGAGAGACCTGCAGATACTCACCGCCAGAAGGACTGTCCCCTCCCAGGGGGCCACTTGACTGACTTTCACTCAGCCCCGCTGGGAGGCCAGTCTGTAGTGGCTTCTCAGACTCCTTTAGTAACTGAGAGCAACCCACCTGTCCCAGGAAAAAGTGCACAGGTAAGTCAGCCTAGCTCCTTTTGGTCCACAGCTCTCCCCAGCATTTCCCATCATCATGTCCTTGCCTGGTCTGAGTGACGGGCAAGGCTGGTTCAGGAAGAATCCCTTTCCCCATGGCAGTCAGAGCTTCTAACCGGCTTGTTTCAGAGAAGCCGCTGGAGAACAGCTTCCTACCTGCCTCCCTGTCTGGTCCTGTCCTGCCTAAGGTCTAAGGGCTACAAGAGGAGTCAAGAGATGAGTGCTGGTTCAGCTTCTGACTCACAATATGAAAATGCCTTCATCTCTACTATAACTCTTCATTCTAAAGCCACCTAGTTTACCTACCTGAACATTACTTTCTTCCTTTTCTTTTTGTACTATTTTCACCTTTCCTTTGTCTTCCTTCTTTACAACAAAATGAACAATTACCCCTGAACCATTCTCTAATTAAATAATTCTGTGCCTTTTGTTTGTAGAAAAACCTGGAAACACAATCATGCCAAATCCCCCCAAAGTTCCTCTGCGGAGTGCTGCCCTCACCGGGAAAGGTTCTGCTCCTTCCTGGATGACGAAGCCCTCGATGATGTGCGTGAGAATCTGAGGCTTCACAATGGCCTGCGGGGGTTTCGAGTCTCCCACCTGTCTGGACACCATGGCCAGTGATGGAGGTGGGGCTCCTGGGGCCGGGGCCAGGGCTATGAGCTCACTGCTGGGGGCGCTGGCATTCACACTGGTCCCTGGGTCAGCTTTCTCTGCAAGACAAGAACACACTGAGGACAGACACGGGGGCGGACACGGGGTGGCATGACCTCGTCACTGGGCCAGCATGAGCTTCCACAGTGCTAAGTGTTCACATTCGTCACTCACTCTGGATTCAGCTGTCTACCAAGTTCACACGAGATCTATTGCTGGCTTATTCAGGACTCGCTTCTCTATTCCCTCTGCACCCCAACAACACTGTACAAGTCAGTCACTCACCCGCAAAACTTCTCTTCTCCTCCACGACCTTTGGGCTCTCTGCGGCAGGAGACGCCTTGGCAGGAAGCACTGAAGCCAAGGTGGAGACCTCATCTCTCTCCTCCTCAGACTCAGCTTTGCGTTTCACAGCCAGCGTCTGGGGCTTACCCTAGACAGTGAAGAATGGGGAAGAAACTAAGATTTAGACATGAAGGATAAGGAACTACAATTATTGCCATACTGTCAGAGAAAAGTTTCTTAGTGCCAGAGCCCCCCTTCTGTACACTTCTCATGATACACTAGAATTCTTGGTCATCTCCAATTTGTATAGTATCTAGATCAGGACAGACGAAAACGCAAACATCATTCGGTCCTGACTTAGACCATAAGACCCTGTATTCACTGTAGACCATTCAAGAACTGCTGTCTTTGTCTAGAGAATGATTTAGCTCAGGCTGTGTTTGTCTAACTTACAATATATCCAGAATCCTGAAAGGATTTCAGTAACAAATTTACAAGTATGAAGTTCAAGTGTTGTGTATGTTAACATCTCACTCTCCATAAAAAGAGCAGAAAAATGCCAGTATTAACCTTAACTCTCTTCTACTCTTTCCACTCTGATGGGAGCTTCAAAACCGTCAGACATTACTCACCGGCAGGTGTACAGACTGCATGTAGAAGGCAGCAGGGACCTGGGCAACCACAGGTGAAGATGTGGTGGCCGCACCCTTTACCACATGTGCTGTCCCCTGCACAGGAGCAAGGGTCATCCCAGGGGCCAACAGAGGAGGACATTCCTGCAGTGCACCGGGAGCCTGAGACGAAGGCGAGGAGGAGGCCAGGTGGCCCTGGCCCGGCTGCACTGGACTTGGCATCCCCCGGGAAGCAGGGGCAGCAGCTGCCAGCTGTGCCAAGCCCAGAGCCTGCGCCTGGGCCGTACCTGGCTGCCGGGTACCCACCACTTGCACAGGGATATGGGGTGGCGGCTGCTGGGTAGCGGACATCTTCGTAGCCCCTAACTGAGGAGGTTTGATAGGTGCTACGGGTGGCTTGGACTGGATGGGGATGGGCGGCTTGGGGGTTGGGTCCGGTGGAAGAGACAGCGGTGAAGACTGAAGCATGGGTTGAACCACAAGCGTCTGGGCTTGCTGCTGGGACTGGGAAGGTGGGACCTGCTGAGTAGGGGGGACCTGTGGTGGCTGAGGGGCAGTGAGGGTTGTGGCTTGCTGCTGTTGCTGCTGCTGCTGCTGCTGCTGCTGCTGGGCCAACTGGAGGTGTGTGGCTGTGTGCAGCAGCTGGGACTGACGGTGCTGGAACTGCTGCTGGTGGTGGATGGCAATCTGCTGCTGGATCACCACCTGCTTCTGCTGGAGGTGGATCTGCTGCTGCTGCTGGATCAGCGAGTGGGGCTGGATCTGTGTGTATGTGGCTGTGGGAACAAACCCAGAATGGAAAAAGGGCTGAAAAGCACAATCCTTCTAAATTAAAAGTAAAACTGTCTTTCCAAGGTCAAACTAGTCTTGGAATCATTCGTGAATGGAAACTGAGTCTGCACAGAACTTGGACGGCACTTCATCCATCCTCTTTCCACTGAGCCAGACGTGACCAGCACCTCTAGTGCTAAAGATCCCACAATCATGCACAATGAAGATGCACAATCATGGAACAACCTCAGTGATTTTTGTGTCTACTTTCTCTGCCATACCTAACTGTCCTATCCTTTGACTCGGCTCAGCAGAAGAGAACGAGTGGCCCCTCAAGCATTCTTACATCCTTTGAACTAAGTTCAGTGTCTGTCACATATGAAGCATTTAATAGTTACCTAAAGAATAAATACCCACAAAGCTATTACCATCTTTCCACAGATGCCTCCGTTTTTAAAATTCATCAGTCTAGGGCCGGGGATTTAGCTCATTCGTGCCACCACCTGCCTCGAAAGCACAAGGTCCCGAGTTTGATCCCCGGTACCAAATAAATAAATAAATACATAAAATTCATCAGTCAGTCTAGGTCACTATCTGAGAAGTCTGAAGAGTCAGCAGCCATTGGTGCTGACTTTACTCAGTTTCCCAAACTGTAAAATGGAGTTGATAATCTCCACCTGTTACACTTGACCACACTGTCCAGAAACAGTGTGTGACATGAAAACACTTTGGAAACAGAAGTAACAGTATTTAAAAACCTACTACTAGTAATAAGAATTAACTTTTTTTTGAGTAAATTATTCAAATATATCAACGACTACAGGGTCAGAAACAAAGGCAGCAAAAAAAATTACCAAGTAAGATACACACATCTAACTCCATCTTATCCAGTCTGAAAGCAAGTATAATCAAAGGTTATAATGATTCATTTTTTATCTTTATCGCAGATACAGACAGTCACAATTTGACTACACCATGGCTCTGTTTGCTAGACTTAAGTACTCTTAAGGCATTTATACTCTTATCTGCCACAAAATGACGAGCAAGAACAGAAGTCATTCCCGATTCTGGAAGGACAGAGAATCTGCTTTTCAAAGATGGATCACTAGCACCTCCCGGAACACAGCAAGCGATTCAGTAAGAATAGGTAAACAGACAGATGAGTAAACCCAGGAATTCAGGAGCCTAAGAAAGTGGGGTGGCCAAGTATAAGCTGAATGCTGCTTGGGGAAGCAAGTTGGCAACCCTCCCGACCCTGGACTAACACGTTCAAGGTTGATGTGATTCACCTTCCTTCCGCTACTCCAAGGCCAAGAAAAGCGGGTTGAGGGATATGTGATAAGCTGAGAATTTCAAACAGGTTCTGAGAAACAGCAGCACCTTGCGGGGACCACTCACCTGAGCTGATGAGCGTCTGGCTGGGGGCAGGGGTGGCCGTCCTCGTCAGGTTCATGCCCACGCTCTGACCACTCCCGTCCGCATCCGCCTTTTTGGCCGCTGCGCTTTCCACCTCTGTCTGGCTGCCCTGGCTCACAGTCACTGTCTGGGCTGCTGGCAGGGGCGGGGCTACTCCTGTGCCCTTCCTGGGACAGCCTGCTCCGCCCATGGCTGAGGAAGGCAACTGACCCAAACCCCCAGGGGCCTGGCCACCTCCACCTGGACCCAGGGACCCTGCGAGGCTACTCCCACTGCTTCCACCAGCCTGACTGAGGTTGAGGGACTGGCCGGAGGCACCCGAAGAAGCCTGTGCCACAGCGAGCGCCTGGTTCGAGGTCTGGGAAAGGCCAGAGATGGGAGAGGCTCCTGGAGGAATGGCCTTCTGGGAGGAGCCTGGCATCGGGGCTCCTTGAGCAGAGGCCTGTTGGTTCCTCACTGCCAAGTTCTGCACCTGAAAGACATTAAAAACAAAAAAATAGATTTCTGTAACCCACCAAAAAGCAGCAAGATAGCCAGAGTGTCACACTCAACTCATATCCCCGCCTCAATGACACTGCACATCAAAGACTTTCCAGGACTCAGAGAGGAACTTTGTGAACACCTGAGTTTTCAGTCTCCTTCATTCACTATCAAGTCTATTGTAATATTTCATCATTTATTCCTTGAGAATGTCTCTCTGATTCTCCCTTTCCTCTCCATGCATCCCTTCAACATCTACCAAATACCTAATATGCTCTAGGTACCAGAGTGAACACTAGAAATTCAGGAGTCGTAAGACACACTACCTGCTCCTAATGAATACTTTCAGTGAGAGAAGAAAATCGGCAGCAATGGTATGATAATATTCACAAATATAAAGTTTGATGGAAGCAGAAACAAGGAAAATCAAGTCCGACTACGAAGATCGAGAAAGTCTTCCTAAAACAGGCGGCATCTGATCTGACAGCAGGGAAGGTGGTGTCATGAAAACAGAACTAACAGCATTTGCAAGGCCTCAGCACCAAGAAAGCACGGCACTTTTAGAAATTAAAAATATTTTATTATGTTGGAGTGAGTAGCAGAGCGGAAAGAAATGAAGGCAAGAAGATGTGCTGAAGCAAGGAAGTAGAAAGGTACTACTTGGTGTGTTAGAGGGTTCTCAGGCAGGCATGATAACGCATACCTGTGATCCCAGCACTTGGGAGGCTGAGGCAGGAGGATTGATGTTTGAGGCCAGCCTGGGCTACACAGTGAGTTCATGGATAGCCTCAACTACATAGCGAGACCTTGTCTCCAAAAAAAGCAAAAACAAAAACAAAAAACAAAAAAAAAGATTCTGAACTTTAGAAACAGCAAGTTTATCTGTCCTATTTATTATTATATTCCCAGAACCTAATATGGCATCTGGCAAAACAGTTCTCCAAAATGTGAAGAGGGAAGGAATTGTGACAGCCTGATTATAGGAGCCACTGAAAAGCATTAATGGAAATAATCACAATGAAAACTATAGTTGAAACTATTCTTTTTAACTGCTTTGGATAAAATTTGCCATCATACTCCAAAGTTGAACGTTCACACCCACACCCCACAAACCTAGAATTCCACAAGGGACACTGCCACATACCACAGAGGGGAGCTACAGGGTAACAAAAGGCTGGGAATGATTCAAACTGCCCTCTCCAGAAGAGACTGTGAAAAGCTACAGCACATTTATAGAATGCAGGCCGGGGATTTAGCTCAGTGGTTCTGGCACCTGGACCCGAGTTCGATCCCCAGTACCAAAAAAAAAAAAAAAAATACTTTTTATGTTCAAATGGGAAGGAGAACAAAGGAGGCGGGAGGAAGAAAGGAAGAGAGCGACAAGAAAAAAAGCAAAAACAGAAGGATAAAATGGAAACAAAGCTTTTGTACATAGGGAAGGGAGGGGACTTGAGGGGGGAATGGGATAAGTTATAAAAAATACTTTTTAGAAGTCTATACATAGATGCAGTAAAATCATCCAAAAGAAACCTAAAGGAAGGATAAGCCTAAAAATCAGAGTAATCATTAGCATGGTTAGGAACAGACAACAGATGGAGGTAGAATTAATACTTTTTTCCTTTTGTAGTGCTAGGGTGCTATGGTTTAAATCTGGATGTCCCCCACAGCCTCCTGTGCTCCACTCCTAGGTGGGACTTTTGGGAGGGGACTGGGTCACAGGGGTTCAATACTCGTCAGATTAGTCCTTCGTGAGTCTGTAGCTAACTGTGCTTTAGGAGGTGAAGCCTGCCTAGAGGACGTGGGTCACTGGGGCATGCATGGCCTGGAAGGGTCCTTTCCCCGCCGCTTCTCCCTTCATCTCTCTGCTTCCTGCTGCCAGGCCATGAGCTGTTTCCCCTCTGCCTCTACCCTCCCTTGGAGCCAGCAGACTATGGGCTGAAACCTCTACAATGAGCCAAAACAAAACTTTTCTTCTTTAAGCTGTGGGGTTCGGTATTGCGTCTCAGCATTGAAAAAGTAACTAAAACACTGGGATTGAACCCAGGCCCTCAAGTATGCTAGACAAGGGGTCTACGACTGAGCTGCACCTCAGCCTGCTTGCCACAGTGTTAAAAATTACTGAATAATCCCCAGCCTGGTCGTGCACACCTGTGATCCTAGCACTCAGGAGCCTGAGGCAGGAGGATCACTGTGAGTTCAAAGCCAGCCTGGGTTACATAGTGAGTTCAAGGACAGCCTGAACTACAAAGTGAGACGCTATCTCAAAAAACAAAAAACAAACAAATTACTGAATAAATAAAAATGGGACACAAATGGTCCAATGATAACAGTATCATGAGCCAAGGACTATGAATTATGATTACTCTGTGTACTAAAAGTACAATTTAAAAATATTAGTAACAAGCTGGGCCTGGTGGTGCGCATCTGTAATATCAGCACTCAGGAAGCTGAAGCAGAATCACTGTGAGTTCAAGGCCAGCCTAGACTACACAATGAGTCCAAGGCCAGCATGACTTCCATAGCAAGACCTTGTCTCAAAAAAACAAACCAAACAAAAAAAATTTGTAACAATGTTTTCTTATTTTAAAAAAATTTTAGGGCCGGGGATTTAGCTCAGTGGTTTCTCCGCCTGCTGCGCAAGCGTAAGGACCGGAGTTCGATCCCCAATACCAAAAAAAAAAAAAAAAAAATCAATAAACATCAACAAAAAATGTCATCTAGCAATTAGTTTTTCCCATCAGCTTCCTTTCTTTGATGGCTATTTCCAATTTTCCCACTTCCCTATCCCTTCCCTTTCTCCTCTCACTCTATGCCTCTACGGAGAAAATCAAAACCATTATCTGAGCCTCCTTCAGCCATGGCATCATCAAATTTCTGTACTTACTGGCAGGTGCCCCTCTTCTCTCTTCTCTCCCTTTCACCCTCCTCCTATCAAAGGGCAGCTCTTCCCTGGAACTGGGTCCCTCTCAGCCTGACTTTCCTGAAGCCGATCTACCTGACCCCTCACCAGACCTGGACGGCGCATCCCTTCCCCAGCTCGGCCCTCCTTTGCACAGCTCACCACTCATCATCCCCTCAGTATTCACTGCACTGTCCCACCAGCCACTCACTCATTCCTTAGATGCATACTACGCAGATTCAATCCATTCACCACATGGAAGCAGCTCTCTCTCCATACTAATAAAATAAATCCATCCTTCCTTTCTCCTCCATTCAAAAAGATGAATACCCTTCTCGCTGTCTCTCTCTCACTGTCTCTCTCTCCCTCTCCCCTCCCTCTCCCTCTCCCTCTCTCCCTCTCTCCCTGAAACTCTGTTCCACTGTCTTGTCTTCAAGAACATGCTGTCTTCAAGAAAACGACACAAGGGCCGAGGATTTAGCTCAGGGGCACCGTGCCTGCCTTGCAAGCACAAGGTCCTGAGTTCAATCCACAGTACCAAAAAAAAAAACACAACATAGTCCAGATTTTCCTACCTCTCTTGCTCTTTCCCATTTCCCTCTCGCCCCAGCCTGGAACTGCCTTTCTAGGGGCTCATCCTAATCCTCACGGTCTGTATTAAACGTCTGTTTCTTCACCCACCATCTCCCTAAGTCACTTTAAAGATTCCTTAGATTCCAGTGTCGTGCATATGCCTACTACGTTCACGTGTGTCCCAGCCCAAACACCCTGAGCTCAGAAACTACATAGAGCTGCTGCCTCTCTCCTCGTGGGGGGCTCGCAAGCACCCTAAGTCTGCTTGTCCACAACTGAACATCACTGTCATCATACTGCTCTCCTGGGGCACCTCTGACAGCACCAGCAGCACCCAAGGCCGTGTTGGCTCTCAGAGCTGCAATCTTGCCATGCACTCAGTCAGTTCGCTTTCCTTCATGACTCTCCCACTTAGTCTCAGAGCTCTGAGTTTCTGTCCCTCTCCACTGCCAACTACCTAATCCAACCACCGAAGTCCTCCTAGACCATTAGAGCACTGCAACTCCCCATTCACCCTCACATCACTCCCCTTTAGCTTCCACTGAGAAACCAGCCTGGTCTTTACAACAATGTCTCCTCCTGTCACCTGCATTTTTAAAACCCTTCCTGAGCTGCCCACTGCCCCTCGCATAAATCTTCAAATCTTAAAACATAGCCCCCAAGGCCCTGCAAGATGAGGTTCCTTCCACTTGGTTGGTCCCTTGCCAAACTCCAGGAAAACAAAGCTCCTTTTACTCCCTAGAGCAAGCGCGCTCCCTCGGACATTCACAGCTGACAAACTGCTAGGCAAACTGCTATGGGCTCCAATCTCAATCTCACTGCTTCATTTTCTCACATTTCAAAGCCAAATTAGCTCACTTTCTAGACCGTCAGAGCATCCTGTATTTCCAGTAAGGCAATTATCACAGCATTCAGGTGAATATGGTTAATGTCTAGTGCTTCACTGGTCTGTGATCACAAATGTAGTGATTTTCTTGGGCATCCAGGCTAAGGAACATCTGATACATGAGTAATAAATAGTTAACACTCTTTGTGTATGTGTATGTGGGGCGATGGGTTAATCAGGAACTGAACTTGGGGCCCTCCTGTTGAGCTGTATCCCTAGTCCCGCCCCACTCCACCCCACCCCCTTTTTGGAGATGTTAGGTCATTTGCCCAAGGACTCATAGCAAGTACTGGAGCTAGATTCTGACCCAAACACCAAATGCACATTTTTCACCACTATCCTCTGTCTCTTTCCATACTGATACTCAAATATGTGATGAATGGATGGATACATGAAAGAACTGAAAATGGAAGAAGGATCAACCTCATCCCTGGCTCCCACCACTATTACCAGAATCCAAAGCAAAGGTCTTACTTTCTAACCACATAACCCCAAGAGTACCTCTGCAGGTTCCCTAACTAATCTTCTCCAGATGCTTCTATCCGAAGTACTTTTCTTAGCCTGTTAGTCTCTTATTCAACGATCAGTAACTGTCCTTGCTATCTATGGAGTTAATACAACCTCATTTTCTTGCCTTTTAGGCTCCTCCCTAGCAATGATCTCTTCCATCAGGCTCATTGTTTCCAATGTATTCACCTCCTTGTCCCCAGCACCACCACATACATCCATCTTTACATATATAAACTATTCCCTTACACTTGCTGGTCTCTTTCCCATTTCCTTCTCATTCCAAATCAAATCCTACCCATCCTTTAAGACTGCTCAAGAATCCTGCAAAGTAACACAGCCAACTCTTCCCTAAAGTCATGTGTCACTCAAAGTTTATACCACTTAGTCTGGCACCTTTATACTCTTTCAAACTCACTGAAGACTTCATTCACATTTTTTTTTGGTACCAGGGATCCAACTCAGGACCTTGTGTTTATGAGGGAGGCACAGCACCACTGAGCTAAATCCCTGGCCCTATTCACATTTCTCTTTAATCTTCCAAAATACCCAGTATGTTTCTGAGAAGATCAATAAAAAGAGCTAAATATGTACTTTCTGACAGATTAAAAGAATGAAACTACTATTATAAGTTCCTAGCTTGTGTCCCACAAATAGCCACATCTTAAATTATATGAATATTAGGAATAAGTCATAAACTGTAATGGTTAGGAAAACTCTGAGGAAAAAAGTGAACAGGAGTCCGAAAGTTGAGCCCCACAGTAACTCGTGATCAGAAAGAACCAAACATTCCTCCTGCAGCTCAACCAAGTGTACCTCGAGTCCAGTAAGATTCCCCCAACCATCCCTCATCTGCAGGGGACATTCATTAAGACGCCCTGAAAACACCTGAGCCACACGGTCTATGAGAATGAGGAGAAAATTGACTCTGCATGGAAAGTAAGACTCCCAGACCCACAGAGCTCTTTTCTGGCAATTCCCTTCCTAGCAAACCAACTCAAAAGCTGTAAGGGATTCAAACTCCATAGGGGTTAAGGCAAAGAAAAGCAAAATTCACAAAAGAGCAAGACATGTGCGCCTGGTACTCAGCAGGTAGAGGCAAGAGGAGCAGGACCAGGGGCTTCAGTCCAGTCAGGGCTACGTGGTGTTCAAGGCTGGCCTGGCCTATACAGCAAGGCGCTGCCCGAGAAAAAAGCAAGAGTAAACCACAACCCACAAACAAACAAGCAACAATGACAAAAAACAAAACCAAAGGCACAGAAACAAAGAATGTGGCAAGGAGCAGTGGGGCAGAGGTGGACCCTGGGCCAGTCACACCCTTTGTCCTCCCCAGCACGGCGTCCCTGCTGGCCACTGACCTGATCCGAATCTGCATGAACTCCGGGGGACTGAGCAGAGGGCACCTCCTGCTGGACCGCAGCCACCGCCCCGTTGGGCATCAGGATCAGCTGGGAAGCCAGAGGCACATTCCGGCCTAGGGTCCGGTTTACCTGCAATAGGTTTCCCAGCTGTGGCTGGCAAGGAGAGGGAGAGAAGAGCAAAGAGGACAAAAGGAAAGAAGAAACAGAAGAAACGGGAGGGAAGGACCACAAGACAAAGTAAACAGCAAATATTAAATAGCTGAGCCCTGCCCCAACCCCAGAGCCTCTTAGTCGCCATACGCGAGGGGTCATCCAGAAGAAAGCCTGGCCTGTGTAGAAGACTATGGATGATAAATAATGGAGAGTCAGACACCAAAGAAGTGGAGACAAAGGCTTTGGCACACACAGTTATATGTACCAGCAGATGAGAGAGAGATGATACTTAGAATCTATGTACTTGAGGCATCAGTTTAAACGTAGACTGCATCTAACCCTAATTTAGTCACATATTAGCATGGAATCCATGTAATCTGCAGGCCACCTGGCAATACCAAGCATCGCCCCTAAGATAAAGCATGGGAAGTGAATCGGCTTGTTTCAAAACATCTGGGGAACCAGAAGAAAATAGTTTCAGGGTAGGCATGTGATGCAATGGTAGGAGGCTTGCCCAGCACACAGGAGGCCCTAGGTTCAATCTCCAGCAATGCAAAAAAATAGGTAATAGCTTTCATTCTCGTCCTTACCAGTCAGGGCGCAGTTACGAACTACGCCCGGAGACGATGGCGCTGCCTGTGACTTACCCGCAGATACATCTGGGCCTGGGACTGGTTGAGCGGTGGGGAGGTAGTGTTCCCCAGCAGCACAGACTGGGTCAAGGTGGTGGCGCTGGGAGAGTTCACACTCTGGGAACGGCTGATGAGCTGGGCGGCCGAGGTGGTGGCCAGATTGATCTGTGTGGTAGAAAAAGGAACCAGGACTAAAGATGTGGGAGAGGACACAGTCAGGAGCAGCATTATGTCACTCTCATGGAGCCAGAGAAATAAATATCCTCTTATGCAAAACAGTCATCCAGGCTCTTCTGGAATACTATAAAAGTTAAAAAAAAAAAAAAAAAGTTAACTTTGGAGAAAGCAAAGGAATGAAATGGAACAGATTTTATTTCTGTCTGAAGAGAGTGCCGGGGCATAGCGGGGCACATCTGTAATCCCAGCACTTGGAAGGCTGAGGCAGGAGGACCAAAGCCAAGTTCAAGGGCAGCCTGGACAGTGAGCAGTGAGCTCTAGGCCAGTCAGAACTACGTAGTGGGACCCTGTCTCAAAAAAAATAAAATAAAAGAGAAGTCCCTTTCTTTTGTTATCTCCTCTTCTTCCCCAGAATTTTATTCTTCCTTCCACAGGTTTCCTATACAGAACCGAGCTGGCTGCCCGCCTCTTTCCACTCTTCCCTCTGTACATGCAGTACATGTCCACTATGGCTCAATCTATGGTTTAGCAACACTCTCAGCTGAATCGTGCAAAGCGAAGAGCCCAGGAGGGTTTGTGCTGGAGGCAGAGCTGCACTCACTGAGGCCTGGGTGGTGGTCGCCTGCGGCTGCTGCTGCTGCTGCTGCTGCTGCTGCTGCTGCTGCTGTGGCGCAGTGCTGGTGTTGGGAGGGCTGGCCTGCCGACTGGCAGCAATCGTGGCCTGTGCGCAACAGGAGGGGCAAGACAGAAGAGACAGTAAGGGACAGCTCTCAGTCTTCCAATAAACACAGCAATCACAAAGAAGATGGAGATTTCAGGTGAGAACGGAGAGACTACTCCCAGACAAAGAAAAGTACCTCCACTCACCCTACCTCACCCTACCATGTGTGCTAACCCAGTGACCCACACAACTCTACTGAGGCAGACAGGCAACCTGGCCTCCTACTCCTTTGCTTTAGTAGAAGAACCACCTTTTAGCGGGTCTCATCATGAATCACTGATAAATCTGCAGCAGAACTGTCCAACAAAAATATAATATGAACTACCACACACATCAGTAAGAAAAAGAAATGGGAGACATTATCTTTAATAATTTATTTTATTTAACTCAGTATCTCTAAAACATCAACATTTCAACATGTAATTACTGAGCTATCTTACATTCTTTTGCCATTCTGAGTCTTCCAACACACACCTTAAATTAGACTGGCCATATTTCAAGCACTCAATAGCTATGTGGGGCCAGTGGGCCCCATACTGGCCAGGCCAGGTCTGGAACACAGCCATTTTCCCTGTAAAAGGTGATTCTTCTACAACTCTTACTGCACACTCAGAAGATCCACGTGTCCCCCTCTAAGAGGACAGCAGGCAAAGGTGACTCTGTCCCCAGCCTGGTTTCGTGAGTCTCACCTACCCACCTGGAGTGCCTGTACCCTCCCTTGGGCCACCTGGCTGCTGACCTCTCACCTGCTGGACCGCAGCCAGGCTGTGCAGCTGGGCATTGCTGAGCTGCTGCTGTAGCATGAACTGGTGGAAATACTGAGCCGCATTGGGCTGCCGCTGCAGCGCCTGCAAAGCCTAGGGAATGAAGACAGGATGTGACATTAGAACAGATGACTCCTAATGCCTGTTCTGTGTGAGCCACTGTAATGTGTGAAGGGAGCCAAAGGAAGGGGAGAAGCCAAAGATGGGAAAACTATGATTTATCCATTTCAATATCAGAATAGGTAAGTCTATATTGTCCTCTACAAACTGGAGAAGCAATTAATTCTGTGGTCTATCCTCATATATTAAAGTGAAGCAGTGCAATTCACACAAACTCTTATTTCCCAAAGTGGAACCTGGAAATATACAAATATAGCAACAACTATGCAGGTTGAAAATACATAGGATATCAATTAATGTAAAGAAAAGAAGAAATTGAAAAACTATATTCTGAGTATACAGTAAGGAATACAGCCCTAAGGGGTTAGAAATATCTGTAATGGAAAAACAAAGTAGTTCCTTCTGAAAGGTCCAATCGGGTAAAATTGTCAACCAGTTGGGCTTTTGAAATATCTACAGTCTAATATAAATGGATGCTTATGAAAATGATATTGGTGGCTCAGTTTTAGTGTTAACCAAATTTTACTGTATTCTTATTTTTCTTTTTTGCTGTTTTCGTTTGTGTTTTGAGACAGGGACGCGCAATGTACTTCAGGCTAGTCTAGAACTCGCAGTTTCTCCTGCCTCAGCCTCCTGAGTACTGCTGGGATTACAAGTGTACACCACCACACTCAGCTTACAGGGTGTAACTGAAAGACCAAATTTCAGTCTCTACTTGCTTGCCCAAACTTTTTTTTTTTTTGGTACTGGGGATCAAACTCGGGTCCTTGACTTGCGCAGCAGGCGGCGAAACCACTAAGCTACATCCCTGGCCCTGCTCAAACTTTTGTAAACTCCTGAGATTCTGAGAGCTGGAAGACCTTAAATCATCACCAAGAAGTACTATAAAAGAAAGTGAAGCCAGTCATCTCCCTGCGCTGTCCCCAACCCAGGCCAGCACGCCCACCCTGACCCCTCGGGGCTGGAGCTGAGCCTTACCTGGACGGCCTGCCGCTCGTACAGGGACATCTGTGCAATCTGGGGCCGAGAGCTGGCCCCAGAGCTGGAACTCCCATTGGTGGAGCTGGAGTTCTGCTCACTCTCAGTCTCCATGACACCACTCCAGGGTCCCCACGGCTGGTGCTCCGACTCAAGACCTAGGCAGAAGCAGAACGGGTTAGAATTACACCTTCTCCCAGACTTCATTCATGTGACTATTCAGGAGCACAGTTAGTCCTTAAGTTTCCTAAGACTCTTCCCCTCAAGGGACCTTAGAACTCTCAAACTCCAACAGTCTTACAACTGAATGGCATCATCCCCACCTGCCATCTTTGAAGCTATTTGGGTCTCCAAAGAAATAACCCTTACGGGGGCCGGGGATTTAGCTCAGTGGTTCCAGCACCTGCCTGGCAAGTGCAAGGTCCCGAGTTCGATCCCCGGTACCAAAAAAAAAAAGAATTCTAGGGTGACACGTGTGGCTCAGTGCTGGAAGAAATAACGCTTACAAGGCCAGGGATTTAGCTCAGTGGTTTCACTGCCTGCTATGCAAGCGCAAGGACCCGAGTTCGATCCCCAGTACAAAAATAAATAAATAAATAAATAAATCGTTTTAAAAAAAAGAAATAACCCTTACATACTGGCTGTCATGAAATAAAATAGTCAGCACACTAACTTGGCACCTTACAAAGCTGAATCCACCCCAATTTCCCATAGCACTTTTTAACAGTTTAAAAAACTCATTTCAATCTTGCTGTTATCTTACTTTTATCTCTCTCTATGGCCTTATCATCTGGTGACAATTGGTGACAATGGTCACCTTTTACTGGGAAGCCTCCAGTTACTTTTCACTGGGCAAGGAGCCTTACCTACACAGTATTTCTCTCTCCCAGTGCTAAAAGGTAAACGGTATGAGTCCCATTTTATAATTCTTGAACTGTTTTTCTGAGTATCAAGTCTTTATGCTAGTACAAGTTTCTTCCTCAAACCAAAAAAAAAAAAAAAAAACAGAAACCTGTGATTAAAGCAGTGTCCTTGGGTATGAGGACTCATTATCCTCTCCCAGTGCTAAAAGGTAAACGGTATGAGTC